CTGGCAAAGACTCTTATTTCCCAATGGACGAGAGAGACTCCTTCATCCTCCTGGTCATAGTCGGGATGAGGTGCATGTGGTCATCCACACACTTGGCCACACAACTGTCCAACTGCTGCTTCACCTGAAGCTCCTTGCTCCCCGCATCTATGGAATCTTTGGCTTTGTCGTTGCAATGCATGGTGCACCGGGCCAGGCGGTCCTGTGGCAAGAAGGCAGCAGGTAGAGAAGCCTGAGAGTGCGGCCTCCATTTAGCAAGTGCCCACCATGGGCTAGGCCCTGTGCTATGTGCTTGGCATGTATGATCTTCAAGTAAATGGACACTAGTGCAATTAATCAAGACTGTCTGGGCTCCAACGGAAGGTGGTACCAGGAAGGACCAGACAAAGCATTATTAGAAAGCAGAGGAATGACAGAATACATGATTCAGAAGACTCCTCCAAGAAGTGAGAGGTCACTAGAGTAGTTAGAAGAATTTGGTACCTTGGTTGTTACTGTAAAACATCCTGATTCTTTGTTTGTTCTTGATACAGAAAAATAATTCAACTCAACAAATATTTATTGACTGGGCATGGTGGCTCACACCTGTGATCCCAGCACTTTGGGAGGTTGATGTGGGAGAACTGCTTGTGGCCATGTGTTCAAGACCTGCCTGCAACATAGTCAGACTTTGTCTCTACAAAAAAAAAAAAGTAGCCGGGCATGGTGGTGCATGCCTGTGGCCCCAGCTACTCGGGGGTTTGAGGTCTGAGGACTGTTTGAGCCCAGGAGTTTGAGGTTATAGTGAGCTATGATCGTGCCACTGCATTTCAGCATGGGTGACAGAGTAAGAACCTGTCTCTTAAAAAGCAGACAAACAGCTGGGTTCAGTAGCTCAGCCTGTAATCCCAGCACTTTGGGAGGCTGAGATGAGTAGACTGCCTGAGCCTGGGCAACTTGGCAAGACCTCATCTCTACAACAAATAAAAAAATTAGCCAGGCGTGGTAGTACGTGTCTGTAGTTCTGGCTACTTGGAAGGCTGAGGTGGAAGGATTGCTGGAGCCCAACAGGTTGATGCTGGGGTGGCCGTGAGTGTGCCACTGCTCTCCAGTCTGGGTGACCAAGTGAGACTCCAACTCAAAACAAACAAACAAAAAAGCAGACAAACAAACAAACAAAAAAACCCTCAAATATTTATTAAGCATCTACTATGTACCAAGTACTCTTCTACTATTGGGGAATATTGCAATGAGTAAAACAGGCCAAACTCTTCCCCATTATATAATTTACATTCCAGTGAGAGAAGAGAGACAAACAAAGTAAGCAGAGATGCTGAGGAAATAGTTGGATATATGAATCTGAAGTTCATGAGTGAGGTCTGATCTAGCGATATAAATACAGGAACTGTCAGCATAGAGATGATATTTATAGCTACAAGACTATCAGAGACTAGAGAAGTAGTCAGGAAGGAAAAAAAAAACCAAGGACAGCCCCAGGCACTCCAATACTCAGAGGCTGGAGAGGGAAGAGCCAGCAAAGGAGGCCGAGAAGGGAGGGGGAAAACCAGAAGAGTGAGGTACCCTGGTGACCAACTGAATAAAGTGTTTCAATGAGGAGAGTGATCTACTGTGTCAATGATGCAGATAGGTCCAGTGAGAAGTTGAAGACTGAGAAATGACTCCTGGATTTAGGTGAGTGGCAAGGACAGTTCTGGCGCAGTAGAAGGGTGAAAGTCTGCTTGGAGAAGACAAACAGAATGGGAGGAGAGTTACAGAGCAATCCAAGAATCAAATTTTCAAAGACCCCATAAATTAGCTGTCAAAATGGAAAGTGGCCCAACCTCCCCACAGAACTAATGGTTAGGGTTTTTTTTTTTGGTATATTCATCTAGAACTTGGAGGAAGCAGAACCTACTCCTAAACCAGACTTTCATACCGTGGGGTTTCATCCCAGGGTTTTTAATAAACATAGAAATTGACCTTCCTGATTGTAAAGACTGAAGTTTACACTTGTCTTATCTGACTTCCCTTTTCAGGAAACCAACCCTCAGGCTTGTAATATCAAGAGACTGAAACTCATCAGATCATCACATCTAGACTATGAGATGACAGACACCACCTGTTTACCCACTCCTCTTTCTTACACTTCCCAAGTTCTTGTTTTCTACTTTCCTGCCCCACTACATAAACTCCAGACTTCAGTGAGACAGGGAGATGATTTGAGAATGAATCTCTCATTCTCCTTGACTGATATCACCCAAATTATAAGCATTCTTCCCTGGCAAGACTTGTTATCTCAGTAATCGGTTTTCTGTGTTCTCTCTCTCCTCTCATTGGAATGTAAATTCAACAGAAGCCCTCCCACCCCATCGAACCCCTGGCATTTGGTAACAAAATAAACATAAAAAACCCTTTGGAGTTCTGTAATCTTGAGGAAGTTATTCCTTCATAATGGCAGTGATTTTGAAAAATCTTAGCCCGCGGGTTCGAGACCCACCTGGGCAACTTGGTGAGTCCTCATTTGTACAATAAATCAAAAAATTAGCCGAGCGTGGTAGCATGCATCTGTAGTTCCAGCTACCTGGAAGGCTGAGGCAGAAGGATCGCCGCAGCCCAGCAGGTCGAGGCTGTGGTGGCCGGGAGCAGCCACTGCACTCCAGTCTGGGTGACAAAGTGAGACTCCAACTCAAAAAAAAAAGAAAAATCTTGTATCGCAGAATGTAGGTATAATTTTCCCATGTGGATGAAACCCCAGGGTATGAAAGTCTGGTTTAGGAGTAGGTTCTGCTTCCTCCAAATTCTAGATGAATATACTTAGTGGGACATAGTAAAATGAAGTATAGATACCCTTTGCTCCAAGAAGGAAAGAGAAAGCTCTTTTAATAACTAACCTCAGAGAGACTTGTGAACCAGGCATCAGTGAGTCAACAATAAGAATGCTTCATGTAAATGACTACTCCTTAGTGACAGAGGAGATGTCCTCTGAGTATAGCAAGTAGGGGCAGCTTAGGTTGGTATATATAAATCCATAAAATGGTGATAGGATCTTGTTCTAAGCTGTATTTTTTTTGAGTCTCACTCTGTTGCCCAGGCTGAAGTGAAGTGGCACACTCATGGCCACTGCAGCCTCGACCTGCTGAGCTTAGGTGATCCTTCTGTCTTATCCTTCCAAGTAGCTGGAACTACAGGTGTGCACTATCACGCCAGCTACTTTTTTGATTTACTGAAAAGACAAAGTCTCACCAGTTTGCCCAGGCTGGTCTCGAACCCATGGACTCAGGCATTCCTCTCACTTTGACCTCCCAAAGTGCTGGGATTATAGGCATGAGCTACCACACCATAACCTTAATCGGTATCTCTTTAAGTCTATCCTAGTCTACTTTCCTGGACGTTCTGCAGTGCTGGGATTATAGGCATGAGCTACCACACCATAACCTTAATCGGTATCTCTTTAAGTCTATCCTAGTCTACTTTCCTGGACGTTCTGCAGCCTTAAAAATAAAGTAATATATGTTTTAGGAAGTTTTATACCATGCAGTATCCATACTGTATTTGGTAGTTATGGCAAGCAAACAAACAAACCAATCTCCAAAACCACTAAGGGCTCTTGGTCAAGAACTCCTCCGGTAACTCCCTTTTATATCCTCCTTCCTTCTTCCTCTCCTACCTCCCTTCTCTTCCTCTCCCTCTTCTTTCCACACCTAGCTAATTTTTAAATTTATTGTACAGATGAGGTCTCGCCAGGTTGCCCAGGTTGGTCTTGAACCCCTGGGCTTAGGCAGTCCTCTTGCCTCTGCCTCCCAAAGTGCTGAGGTCGCAAGAGTGAGCCACTGTGCCCGGCCTGCATCACTGTTTCTGTGGGAAAATACAGTTCAACTTCCAGGATTTCTTTCAAAATTCCAAACCCTGTGAACACTGGTTGGTCACAGAACTATCACAAATGTTAGCAGAACCAAGACACTAAAGCCATGAGTTTTGAACAAACGCCTGTCATCTCCTGCAAAAGAGCACACCGAGAACTACAGTGGCCTGTCTGGGATATGCCTCACCTGGAACTTCTCCAGCTCACTGGTCACCAAGGCCTGGGCTTGGGCTAGAGGCGCATGGCAGCGCTCAATGCACTGGTGCACCTGCTGCATGGACGCCTGGCTGTCGTCACAACAGCTGGCGCTGCACCGGAACATGAGGCCCTGGGGAAGGAGAACAGCGCGAGGTTAGGCCGGAAAGCCTCCTGGGGACGGAGATGCCCAGAGAGCCTGCCGGAGTTAGAAGGCCGTGCCTGCATCTGCACCTCCTTGTCCACCGCAGCACAAACACCAGGACCTTAAAAACACGACTGGGGAAAGGTCATCCTGGGTGCCTTGCAGAGCGTTCCATGGCCTCCTTGCTGCTCGCTCCTGGGCACCTGGGGCCTCGACGGCTGGGAGGGCGGCGAAGGGGGTGGGTCAGCCGAGGCCGCGTCCTGGAAACCAGGTGCCACCAGCTCAGGGTTCAGAGGTCGGCTGCCCAGTGCTCCACGTTCCACCGGGCGGCACTCGACCCGTTCACCAATGGCTCAGTCGGCGCTGCACGGAACGCCCCAGCCCGGCGAGGGGAGCGGCGGCACCGACAGCACAGGGGCGTCTGGGGGTCAAGGCCGAGCAGCGTTTGACCAGCGCGGCGTAAAGCGGGGCTGGGAGCCACAGACAGGCGTGACCCGGCCGCCGGGGAGCCCGGGCGCCTTCGCCTTCCCGGGCCTCGGGCGGCTCACTGCGCAGGGTCCGCGCGGGAGGGGGGCGGAGGCGACGCCGGCCTC